GCTATGCTGGTCCGAAGCCAGGATCCAGGAACTTCTTCCAGGTCTCCCACAGGGGTGCAGGGTCCCAAGGCTTTGGGCCATCCTCAAATGCTTTTCCAGGCCACAAGTTGGGAGCTGGATGGGAAGCGGGGCCACTGGGATCAGAACCGGCGACCATATGGGATCCCAGCGCATTCAAGGCAAGGACTTTTAACCATTACGCTATCATGCCAGGCCCAATCCATGGGTTTTGTCCCTCCTTCTCTCCATAAATCTGACTTCCCAACAAAAATAAATGAATCTTTAAAAAAGAAAAGAAAGAAAGAAAGCAAACATTATGTAGTGTTCCCTTCATAAGGCTTTTTCCTCCAAAAAACCCTACCTCATTCACAGGTATCCATTTTTATGTCTCCTTCTTCAAAATTTTACTAATTTTTTTTTTTATCCCGGCTTCTGGCTTTTTCACACAAAAATAAATAAAAATGTTAGGGTTTATTTATTTATTTTTATTGGAAAATGAGATATACAGAGAGGAAGATCTTCTGTTTCCTGATTCACTCCCCAAGTGGTCTCAATGGCCAGAACTGAGCCAATCTGAAGCCAGGAGCCAGGAGCTGCTTCCAGGTTTCCCAGATGGGTACAGAGTCCCAAGGCTTTGAGCAATCCTCTACTGCCTTCCCAATGCACAAGCAGAGAATTGGATGGGAAGTCAATCAGCCAAGAATAGAACGGGCACCCATATGGGACCCTGACACAAACAAGGCGAAGAGGACTTCAGCCATTGGGCTGCCAAGCCAGGCTCCCACCCAAAAGACTTTAAAAAAAGATTTTCTCAACCCTGCTGCAACAAAGCCTACAAGAACTATCAAGACCACACAAGCAGCACCCTCAAAACATTCTTCCCAATGTTAAAGTCTTTAAGGTGACATCAGATGGCTGTCTCCACCCCCAGGCACTGATGTAGTTTGACAGGTAAGAAGAAAGGTATGAGGGCCTGGCAGTGTGGCCTAGCAGCTAAAGTCTTCGCCTTGAATGCGCCAGGATCCCATATGGGTGCCGGTTCTAATCCCAGCAGCTCCACTTCCCATCTAGCTTCCTGCTTGTGGCCTGGGAAAGCAGTTGAGGATGGCCCAAAGCTTTGGGACCCTGCACCCCTGTGGGATTCCTGAAAGAAGTTCCTGGATCCTGGCTTCAGATCGGCATAGCATCGGCCGTTGTGCTCACTTGGGGAGTGAATCATTGGATGGAAGATCTTGCTGTCTCTCTGTATATCCGATTTTTCAATAAATAAATAAATCTTAAAAAAAAAAAAGAAGAAGAAGCAAGGTGTGATCCTGTACCTCTCAAGGAGTTAAACTATCAAAAAGCAAATAAATAAAAGTGGATTTGTTACATTAAAAAAAAACAAGATAGATGCTCATGTCATGTCAGCAAAACAGGAGTGGGAAGCTACAGATTTCATTCTCCCACAAGAACATTTAAAAATAACCAGGTGCTAGACAAACAAACCTAGAAGCTCCAAAAAACAGTCAAAGGTCTCACAGCACTTCCTGTCTCGGCAAATGGTTTGTGTATCCTGGGTTTTCCCAAAACATATGACTTTGAGTTACTACCTTGTATCCTTTAAGATTTATTTATCTTTATTGGAAAGACAGATCTGATTTACAGAGAGAAGGGGAGACAGAGAGAAAGATTTTCTGTCCACAAGTACATTCCCCAAGTGGCCACAGTGGCCAGAGCTGAGCCAATCTGAAGCCAGGAGCCAGATTCTTCCTGGTCTCCCATGTGGGTACAGAGTTCCAAAGCTTTGGGCCATCCTCTACTGCTTTCCCAGCTTGTGACAGCAGGATGGGAAGTGGAGCAGCCAGACACGCACTGGTACCCATATGGGATCCCGGCACATGCAAGGTGAGGATTTAGTCACTGGGCTGTTGTGCCAGATCCAGATTTTTGGATTTTCAACCTGGTGTCTTTATCAAATCTGTGAAGTCACTGGCCATTAATTATTGCAAAAAATCTTTGGGTTTGCCAAAATGTATGTCAATCCATATATACATATATATACATAGTACAGTAGCCTAGTGTGCATATATATATATGTGTGTATATATATATTTATATATATATGTGTGTATATATATATATTTATATATATATATTTGAAAGGTAGTGTTACAGAGAAAGAGGAAAAATTTTTCCATCCACTGGCTCACTCCCCAAATGGAAACAACAATCTGGCTTCAGCAAGGCCAAAGCAAGGAACTTGAAGCTTCATCTGGTTCTCCTAGGTGGGTGGCAGGAGCCCAAACACATGGATCATCTGCTGCTTTTCCCAGGCTATTCGCAGACAGTTGCATTGGAAGTGGAGCAGCTAGGTGAAGCTAGGACTTGATCTGGCATCTATATGGGATGCTAGCATGGTAGGTGGCTACTACCCACTGTGTCATAATGTAGGCTTTGTGGTTTTGCTCTTTCTTTTGCCTTATCTCCTTTTGTGTGTGTCTCTGCGTATTTGTATTTATTTATTTTATTTATTTCAGCACTTGTAAGGTGAGTATTAGCCAACTGATCCATTGCACAGGGCCGAGAATAAAGAACTTTTAAACTGTCTTACACAACTAAAATCTAGAGCTCTGGAATCACAAATCAATGACACCATCCCACACCACTGCATTTAAAGGAAAAGGGAGTCATGAGGTTTCCTCTTAAACCTTTATCTTCCTGGGAGGAAACAGTCCCTAAATTCCTTCAGGAGATGCAGTCCCTGTAGGTGAGCGCAAGAATCAAGACAAGGAGCATCTTAGACCATGCCAGGTTACAGTACCCACTGTTATACATTTGGGTCAGGTCTGGGGGCAGACTATGTTGTGCCAGTTAATAACACCCATTGGCAGATCTGAGAACGAGGAATGGGGAAGGGCTGGGTTAGGCCATAGCATCAGCCACTTCACAGTAGGGCTGGGACAAGGGGCTGGCTGGGCCGGGTTGGGCAGCACCCACAAGTATGAGCTAGAACTGGGGGCAGGCCAGGCCAGGCCAGGATACAGCACCTGCTGGCGTACAGCACCTGCTGACATACACCAAGGTGACACTGGCCATCTTAGACGGGTCACAGCACCCATCAGCACATGTGTGACCCAGGGAGGAGGGAGTGGCAGTATGAGCTTGGTAGGGGAGATGTGGAGACCTCCCTGCTGGACCGTTGTTCCTGCTGGTAAGCATGAAATCTGGGATGGGGGCAGGGGGAGACCGGGCTGGGCAGGGCTACAACACCTGTAGCAGGGTTGGGGGAGAGCTAGTACAAGCTAACTGATTGTATCAACTGGTACAGGCATGAGCCAGAGTAAGGGCAGGCCTTTTGAGATTTGCTGCACCCTCAACTGGCAAGTGCTTGGACTGGGAGCAAGTTCTGTCGAGCTAGACTATAGCACCACCTGGAGAGTGCAAGATCTGGGGTAAGAAGTGGGTCCTACTCTTCTTTGATGGACTGCAGCTCCCAGTGGTAAGCATGAGAACCAGGACTGGGGACAACCCTGGATAGATAGGCAGTGGCACCCACTGGCATAAGTGAGGGCAGGAGGGTGGAGTTGATTGGGTTCAGTTAGGCTTCAATGCCCAATAATGTTTACAAGAGATGATTGGGATTTGGGACAGACCAGATCAGTCCACACATGCTGGCAGGCACAGAAACTAGGGCTGGAGACCAGCCCACTGGGGGTAATTGGGGATCACTCTGCCTGGGCTGTAGCTCCCAATGCTGTAGATGAGGGCCAAGTACATGGTGGGCTGGGTTGGGCAGGGCTGTGGAACCCACTGATTTGTGTAAGAGACAGGGTACAGATAGATCTAACTTGGGAAGTGCAACTATCAGTGTGTGTGTAGGCTGATGTGAGCAACAGAATGAGCCGGACATCATACCGATGGAAGCACACAAGCGTCAGGTCTGGAATCATCTCAAATGAGATATTTTTGAGGGTTTCCCCAACTGAACTGCTGAACTCAGGATTCCAACCCTGGACAGAGTGACAGGACCTGTGTGTGATCTGACAGTGGAATGCATGTGTCTGAACGGGGCCACCTGTTACTGAAGATGATACAGTAGACAACATACACAGATGCACACGGAGGATATGGCAGTCCATTGGAGCCTGCAGAGGACATCTGATACCATAGCAGAGGAATGAGGGCAGAACAAATGGTTCAACTACCCCAGAGAAGCTTGACAGCAAATTTCTGGGTGAGTGGAAACTCTGGGGTGGACTGTGTCAGCCAATGGACTTCAGAAGGGATTTCCTTATCCTTGGATCTGTGAGACTGACAGTATGTCAGAACTATCAAAACTACTTGAACAGAACCCTAAGAACATGCTCCACATCAGGGATCCTGGGATGACATTGCCCCTAGGAGGCTGGATGTGGCTTCTCTTGTGTCCTCCATCACTCTAGATATAGAAGATAAGGAAGATGTGGAAATAGTGGTCTCACCCACTTTCCCCTAGTCCTTGACCTTTTCCACCCTAACCAACCATGTAAACATAATCAAAAATAAAATTAAAAAAAGAAAAGCAGTCCCTTGAAGCTGCCTTTCCTCTATCAGACTCCAGACTACTCTCAAGTTTCACTAGATATGCAATCAAAACATTATGTAGCAAAAAAAGAATCAAATACCATGGCGTGGGAACAACCTATGCCAAACATGGCCAACCCAACAAATCACAAAGTTTGCAACTTTGGAGGACAGAGGAATGGACCCCACCACGGTTTTATGCCGTCACTAACAACCGCCGGGAAAGTTATTTTAACCTTCCCCTTTCCTTTCAAATCGAAAAAATACCTGCGCGAGTTTATTAGTGTAGCCCTTCCATGCTTCTTAATCACTTCAAAAAAGGTCTGTAAGTTCCGTTCTCCTTACCCACGTGACCCCGGCCACCGCTCCGGCTTCATGCCCTTTTCCAAAAGGGCCGCCCTGCCGCCGGCGTGCGCTCCTGAGTGCGCAGGCGCAAATATAAGTCCTCTTCCGGGCAAAATGGCGATGGTCTTAATGTGCAGACGCCGGGAACTTCTGCGCCTGTTACTACCGCAGCGCCAGGTAAACGTGGTCTGGGAACGGGCTCCGGGGGGCACCCGAGCGCCAGCATGCTGCCCTGTCCCTGTGCTTCGAGCTGGGAACCCGAACAAACGCTGACCAGCTCACCGGGACCTGCGTGCCTTGACCTCGGGTCGCGGGAGGACACGGGAGGATTATTCCGGGGTCCAGCCACGCCGTGGGCCCTGTGCAACTCGGGAAACCGGCCGCTCTTGCCAACTTCCCCTCAGCCCTGCGGGTTTATGATAACTGCGGGGCTGGAGCCCGCCAGCAGCCTCACGCCCGCGGGTCGGGCGTCCGCGCGTGGAGCGCACGGCTGACGGGACGGGAGCACCGGGCGCGCCGGAACCTTGCTCCGGGGAAGGAAATCCATCATCCTTTTCTCCGCTCAGTTCCACAGCATCGCTGGTCCATCGCCATGGCCCGGACAGCCGCTGACCCCTGGCCTCCTGTTCCCAGCCGGCCGCCGCTTAGCGCGCCAGCCCTACCTGCTCCGTGCGGCCGCCGGCCCCCGCTGCCTCAGCACCTCTGCCGTGTGGTTGGCAGAAGCGCAGGTAAGAAGGCTTTTCATTCCTGGAGATGTGGGGGCAGGGTGCTTAAGTGTTTGGTTGATAGGTAGTTACTTTGCTGCATGGCAGTTGTCCACACTTGGCACAGCTCCCCTAAAAGGTTAGCCTCTCTGCTTGGGGTGAATTTTCGGTTTGCTGGCGGGATGATTGCAAGTGCAAGAGACGTGTCTGTAAAAAGCATGAGCCACTGATGGTGATTTAAGATTTGACTCTTGGGTGTCAAATACATGATTTCATGGCTTCAGGAAAGACCATTGACATGTATGAGAGCTGAATCGGATGTGGGACAGACTGGACCAGTTTGCCATACATACTAGCAAACACAGGAACCAGGGTAGGGGTCGGGCCTCATGGTGGTTATTGCCTGTTGCTCCAACTAAGCTGCAGCTCCCACTGGTTTGCGTGAGGGACGAGTGTGTGCTGTGCAGAATCAGGCTGGACTGCAACCCCCATTTGTTCTTGTGGAAGACAGGGCTGGAAACAGACCTGACCCAGCAAATGCAACCACCAGCATATGCATAAGCTGATTGGGGCAAAGGACTGTGCCTCACCCTGTACTGGCAAACACACACGAGAACCAGACCTGGGATCACCTCAGACAAAGTTTTTTGGGGATCCCTCCAACTGAACCGCTGATCTCAGAACCCCAACCATGAAGAGAAATGAAGGTTCCATGGTCTGACCATGGAGTCCATGTGTCGAAGCTGAGCCTTCTCAGAGGCTCAGACGGAGCAGTGGACAGCAGCCTATCCAGCTGCACATAGAGGACATGGCAGTCCATCAGTACCTGCAGAGGACACTTGTTACCACAACAGAGGCCAGAACAAATCAATCAACTACCCCAGCCATGTGTTGGCAGTGAAAAACTAGTCAAACAGACACTCTAAGGTGAACTAAGTCAGCCAGTGGATTCTGGAAGATTTCATTGTGCTTAGAATGGCAAGATCGGTAGCAATTCAGAACTGTTCACCTATCAAAACCACTTGAGCAGGACCCTCGGAGCATGTCCCACATTGGGAACCCTGGGAATAATAATGTGGAAACAAACAAAAATAAATAAAAATTTTTTAAAATGCAGTTGTTTTCATGGAAAACGTGCGCTGAATAGTTGCACTCAAATCATATAATCGTATTCACAAGGCTTAAGTTTAGGCAGTTGGTCTGAGGAATAACTTCACAGCCTGTAATTATGCCAGGCAACTCTGAGCAGCTTCTCCTCCTGCCTAAGCTACAGTAAACTGCTCTTTTTATTCATGAGAGCTGTGGGCACGGTGGGCTCATCAAGCAGAATAGCAGTAAGGGACACGGGACCAGCCCCGCTGAGCACCACACCTGCTTGCTTTTGCCCAGGTTCAGGCCCCTCCGGTTGTTCCTGGCACTCCATCCTCCACCGTGGTACCTGAGGTGCCTGCTGAGACTGCCGATGCGATCCAGGCTGCTGCAGAACAGAGCTTCGCCGAGCTGGGCCTGGGCTCCTACACCCCGGTGGGCCTGATTCAGAACCTGCTGGAATTTATACATGTTGACCTGGAGCTACCATGGTGGGGAGCCATTGCTGCATGTAAGAGAATCTTCCCTGGATAATGATACAGGAAATGGGAACTTGGGGGTATGACTTTAATGGGGGTAGTTCTGGGGATGAGCATTTGGTCTGGCTGTAATGCACCTGTGACCATGTCCCCTCCCCCCGAGCCTGGGTTGGGTACATAGCCTCCCGACTCCAGCTGCTGGCTGTTGCAGCCTTTGGGAGGCAGCAGTGATGGCTCATATGGTTGGGTTCCTGCTGCTCGTGTGGGAAATCGAGATTGAGTTCCCAGCTCCTACCTGCAGCCCCTGGCTCCATCCAGACATGTTGGGGTGCATTTAGGAAGTGAACTAAAAGATGGGAACCGTCTCTTTCTCTCCCCATCTCAGCCTCTCAAATTCTGTCTATGGGTAGACAAAAACGTTGGAGAAATTCAGGAATCAGAAAAGCGGACAGATTTTTCAAGTCAGGGAAAGGCTCATGATGTCTAGATAGACTTTTTCTTGAAGAACATAAAACTGCTAGATCACCTAGTACTCATGAAGTAGATACCTGGGGCCAGTGTGGTGGTACTGCAGGAAAATCCTCCACCTACAGTCCTGATATCCCATACGGCCACCAGCTTGTGTCCCAGCAGCTCCACTTTCTGATCCAGCTCTCCTTGCTTGTGGCCTGGGAAAGCACCAGAGGATGGCTCAATTCCTTGGGCCCCTGTACCCACATGGGAGACCCGAAAGAAACTCTTGGCTCCTGTCTTCAGATTGGCTCCTGTCTTCAGATTGGCTCAGCTCTAGTCACTGCAACCATTTGGGGAGTGAACCAGCAGATAGAAGAACTGTCTTGTCTCTTTCGTTCTGTAACGTTTCAAGTAAATAAACACATCTTTAAACGGAAAAAAGTAGTAGAGACGACTGTGAGCATAGGGTTGGAGTAGAGGGTCCTTACAGTGATGACACTGCCCTTGTTGGGAGAGTAGCTCAGGTCTGGCACCCGAGTCCCAAAGTCGGAAGCATTCAGATTATTCTTACAAAGGCTAGAATGGCTTTGACCTGTTTCTTCTATATCTTGTTCCATCCTTTATCTCTTTAAGGACATAAGACAGACCTCCTTACTGCCAAACCCTGAACACATTGACGTGTTCCAGCGGCGCCATGCGGTCCTCCTTCCCTTCAGAGCTGTTATTTCAGAGGATTCTGTCTCTGCTTATCCTCCATGTTTGCATTTACTCTTTGGCCCTCAGCAGTCTGGCTTTTAGTAACACCTCTTTCTCACTGCCCGTGACATCAGTGTGTGATGTTTTACCTAGCATATTTGACCTTTCTGCATTAGACATTTTAGAATTTACCTGTTCCTGACTTTTGTAATAGTTTCCTGGTTTTCATCTTGCCCTTTTGATCAGTTTCCCATCGCCACTACCCAGGGCTCTACATGTCCTTCAGTGCTGTATCCTGAGTTCTTCCTTAGCTCCCTCTCTTTCCTCTCCACACCCCCATACGGTTGAGAAAGCCTGTGTAAGGGCCTACCTGTAGGTCTACAGTATGAACTGCTTGCTAGAATAAGAAAAGAAATGGGAATTAAAACAGCTAGCAGCTTACTTCCTGTCCAGTAATTTCCAGAACAGTGGCTTTCCAGGTTCTCTATGTATCTGATTTTCCAATAATAATAGATACATCTTTTTTTTTGAAGAGAGATTTTTACTTAAAAGAGAGACAGAGGAGGAGAGATAGAAAGGAAGATCTTCCATCCATTAATTAACTCCCCATCAGCCATAACAGTTGGAGCTGAGCTGATCTGAAGCCAGGAGCCAGGAGCCAGGAGCTTCTTCAGGGTCTCCCACACAGGTGCAGGGTCCCAAAGCTTTGGGCTGTCCTTGACTGCTTTCCCAGGCCACAGGCAGGGAGCTGGATGGGTAGCAGGGCCACCAGGATTAGAATCAGTGCCCATAAGGGATCCTGGCACATTAAAGGGGAGGACTTTAACCACTACACTATCGTGCTGGGCCCAGACACAGAGATCTTTGTTTATGCCCAGATGGCCACCAGAGCTGAGCTGATCTGAAGCTGGCAACCACATAGAGGCAGGGGCCCAAGGCTTTAGAGCAGCCAGGACACAAATTGGCCGCCGTTATATGGTGCCATTGCTGCAGGTACAAAATTAGCCAGCTCTGCCACCATTCTGCTCTCATTGTGACTTCTGTTTTCCCAAACATAACTAGTGCTTGAGGGAACTGAGTCTCACCCTGCCCTTATTCTTAGGCTTCTTAGTGGAAAAGGCTGGACCTCAAAGCCCTCTGCCACAGAACTGCTTCAGTTTCCCTCCAATCTGAGTTTGTATCCTCCAGGTACAGTCTTTGCCCGCTGCCTGATTTTTCCTCTCATCGTGAAGGGCCAACGAGAGGCAGCCAAGATCCACAACCACGTGCCAGAGATCCAGAGGTTTACCGCCCGAATCCGAGAGGCCAAGTTGGCAGGAGACCACGTTGAGTGTGAGTCCGTTGCGGAGGGCCCCATGTGCACTTCAGACCTTGTGCTGGGAGAAGTCAGGAGTTCTATCATTGGGCGAGTGCTGAAGGTTTATCTGCTTCCTGTGCCTGGCGCTTCCAGGGACTGGCCAGGGTCAGTCATGGGCCTGGTGATGGGGATGTACCTCTCCCTGGTGTAACCACTAGCCCAACCACCAATCTCCTCTCACCTCACAGTTTACCGGGCCTCCTCAGAGATGACACTTTATCAGAAAAAGCATGATATCAAACTCTTCAAACCTCTGATTCTACCTCTGACTCAGGTGAGCCAAAACATTTCCCTCTTACTTTGTCATACTGCAAATGCTGTGTGTCCCAGGCCCCAGGGAGGCAGGCAGCGGTGGTAGGAAACGTTCCCCCCACTGACACTGTGTGCTCTGTGAAACAGGCTCCGATCTTCATCTCCTTCTTCATTGCCTTGAGAGAGATGGCCAACCTTCCTGTGCCCAGCCTGCAGACAGGTGGCCTCTGGTGGTTCCAGGATCTCACAGTATCTGATCCCACCTATATCTTGCCCATGATAGTCACTGCCACGATGTGGGGTGTCCTGGAGGTAAGCCCGTGTTGGCCAGGTGCCAAGCCTACAGAGTGTACTGGGGGTGGAGGATAAAGTGCTGTGGACGGTGGTCATCCTTCACTCCCAAGAGAAATCAAGGTGATAAGTATGAGATTAGAGCAAGTGTCACTAACACTGGTGTGTGTTCACTATTTTCCTCTGCTCCCCCTCCCTGACAGCTAGGTGCTGAGACAGGGGTGCAAAGTTCTGACCTTCAGTGGATGAGAAATGTCCTCAGGGTCATGCCGCTGGCCGTTCTGCCCATCACCATCCACTTCCCCGCGGTAAGCAATGGCTTAGGCGCTGGCTCCAAGCTCTCCCACCAGTCAGCTGCCTCCTGGCAAGCTGGCCAGGGATGCAGTTCCTGAGCCTTCCTCTGTGCTCTGCCAGGCAGTGTTTGTGTACTGGTTCTCCTCCAACCTGTTCTCCCTGTGCCAAGTGGCCTGCCTCCGGATCCCTGCCGTACGCACGGCACTGAAAATCCCCCAGCGTGTCGTGCACGACCCTGACAAGTTACCTCCCCGGGAAGGCTTCATAAAGAGCTTCAAAAAAGGTGAGGGTTTGCTCCGTACAGAATAGAAACAGGGACAGGTGTCTGCAGCAGGGGTGAGACTCTCGTCTTCACACAGGTTGGAAGAATGCTGAAATCGCACATCAGCTACGAGAGCGGGAACAACGCATGCAGAAGCACTTGGAGCTGGCGGCCAGGGGTAAATACTCCTTTTAGACCAAGTCCTCTCTCCTGTCTCCTCTTTTCTCTTGTTCCTGACATTTCTTTTCTCCCTTCAGGCCCCTTAAGACAGACCTTCACCCACAACCCTCTGCTACAGCCTGGAAAGAGCCACCCTTCCCACACCCCCAGCAGTGGCAGCAGCAGCAACGGCAGCAGCAACAACAAACCAAAGTCAAGACCCTGGCATGACACACTTGGCTGATCCGTGTTGTCTGCTCATTCAGACAGGAACTGTGGCTCTTCAAAGACACATCCTCAAAATAAGACTTGATGCTGTGTCCTTGTCCCAGACCTGGGAGCTGTGAGACATGGAGAGGCTCTTTTATGCCTGTGTTTAAAGTGGATTCCATTATAGACTGAACACATTCGCATACGAAAACATTGGGGATCCAGATAATCTTCCCACCCACAGAGTTCACAAACCTCTGTACTACAGGCCGCTTCCCGACACTCATTAAACAGAAATGGCAGCGTGCCACAGGAAAATGAAGACTTCATCTGTTCATGATTGCTCTTAGTGGCCTGTGCCCTTGGCATATGTCTTCACATTTAAATTGGGTGTTGAGCGCATATGTGTACCTCTACCCCATAGATATTTGCATTGCAGTAAGAATTTGGTAAGACTTTATTTAAGTGTGCTGAATGTTTGGAAGGCAGGTGACATGGAGGGGGAGACTTAGATCTTCATCTGCTGGTTCACTCCCCAAATGCCTGCAATAGTTGTGGCTGTGCCAGACATTGGAATGTGAGTGAGTGGCAGAGACCCAGGACGGGAGATGAACCTGGGACTCAATCCCAGGCATCCCAAGCAGCACCTACTCTGCCTCGGTAACTACATTACCTAACATTTTACAACAAATTAGGCCTTCATGTAGCCGCCATCAGCTTGACAGGGAAGAAACTCTCAGGTATTTTGATGCATTAGATTTTGTTCAGTCCTTCCTTGTTTGGATTAGTGGGATCCTTCCTGGAGAGACTGTAAAATGAAGCCACACAGACTAAAGGAACATAAGCCTTTTATTCTTGTCCAGCACCTGATAGTTTCATGTCTGAGGAGACAGGCAGTTTGGAACGATGTTGGCCCTTTTTAAGAAAAGGGAGGAATGGGTAGGTACGCTCACAGGCACCACCAGAACCACTAGGCCCACCCCTGACATGCTCCCCACCAGTCTGCTTTGTCATCCCTTAAAAAGTCTAGAGCAATATGTAGCAAAACAAATAAATTACTATTCATGTCTCAAGGTGCAAGTTCAGTGGCTGAAGCTGCCTCGATGAGACTTCTGGAGGATACCTCCAAAGTGAGCTTTCAACTTCGTAGACTCCATCTTCTAGGAAACGGGAGGCCTTGTCCCCACCTCAGGATTCCAATAGGTATTTAACTAGATTTGGGATCCTGTTGCTTAGACATCTCTTCTCCATCCTCTAAATCCATTTCTGCAGCAACTGACATGCACAGGACCTGAACGTACCAGGTGGCTGATGCTACAAAGAGAAGTCAGAACAAAATCCATCAACTGGGCTGAGTTCCAAGTGGCACTGACAAAGAATGAGTCAGTTAATAAGGTTAACAGTGGGCTATGGCAAAGGTGGCACAAGAGCCATCACCTTCAGAAAAAGGAAAAAACAGACTAGCTGAGCTGAGAGGTCCAAGGCTTACCCACGGTTCTTCGGAGGCAAAGAGGCCGTTTGTGCTCTGGCACTTGGACGATGAGGAAGTAGAAGGGCAAGCCCGAGAGGGCAATGGCGATGCCGATGAGGGAGTTTCTGGTATCACTGTAAAGTGGAATAGCCACCAGGAAGATGGTGCAGAGGCAGAAGACAATGGGGAAGAAAAGGCTGAGCTAGGGGCAACAGAAAAAATGGGTTAGCTCGTGGGCCTGGACAGCCAAAATCTCCCCACCTCCCAAAAGCACCACACCTTGTTTCCATCACAACACACTAACACAGCCCCCCCTTTGAAGCCCTAGGAAAAAGTTTCTGAACAAACCATCTTCTAACAGTGCCTTGTGGCTGCAACACTGGCCGTTCCAAAGGGCCACAGGTAGGATGGAGGTGAGTTACCTTAAGGGGGCGAGGTCGATCAGGCTCCTTCCAGCGGAGATAGAGCTGACCCACGATAGAGAGCCCCACGAAGAACCAGTAACTGAAACTGTAGTAGTTAATGAGCTGGAAGATGTCCTCCACACACAAGTAGATGAGTGCCATGATCCCCTGTAGGTGCAAGTTCAAGTCGGCTCAGGGTTTGTTTCCCAAGGCACTTCTCCCTCCCCTCTGCCTTAAAAGTCCTTTCCCTATCAAGTCACGTCACTTAGACCTACATTTCAAGACCTCATCTGCTATTAGCCATTAGCTTTTCAACTTTCTCTAACCCCATTCTTCTTTCTTTATCTGGGTAACCTTCAATAAAGCATAGCTCAAAGCAACCTCTCAAGAATATTTCATCCAAGTGTGGGCGTTGAGCCTAGTGACTGAGACGACAGTTGAGACACTCATGTTCCACCAGCTGAGGCTCTGTGTTGCAGCCTCTGACCATGTAGAGTGAGTGATGGCTCAGGTGCCATCCACAGCAGAGGCCTGGATTGGGCTGTTAGCCCAGCCATAGCAGACACTGGGTGAGTGAACCAGCAGTTGGGAGCCCCCATCACAGTCTGTCAATGTCCTAAAAGAATGTTTTGTGAAAAGAATGTTAAGTCACCACATGGGATACCTATGTCCCATACAAAAGGACATGGCACATGTCTCAGCTATTCAGTTTCCTACTAATGTGTGCCCTAGGAGGCAGAAAATAATGATTCAAGTACTTAGATCCCTGATAGCCACATAAGAGGCCTGGCCCAGTCTCTCAAATGAAAATTTTTAAAAAGCCACCCCTATAAAGTAAATATTTGAAGCAAATTTTGAAACTGTAGAGTTGGGTTTTAAGCAAGAGAAACCGCATCAGAGCCCTGCAGAAAAGCAGTGTGGAGTTGATTGAGGAGAAGGAAACAAGTTGAAAATGTTGGCTGAAGCCATCCTAGAGAGAGCCTTATACAAGATGTAATTTATTTGAAGAGCAAGCATGAATACATCATGCTTAGTGTGTGACCATTAATCACCACAATGTAGTCCATGTACTTGACACTTTGTCTTGGATCAAAGATGTTTACCCTTCATGAGAAAGTAAGCTTTTAAGGAAACACTGCAGCAATTAGAAAAGTTATCAGAATCTCCTTTAAACTAGAACAGCAACAATTACTAAAGCTTTCCCCATAATCTCGCTTCCAGTCCTCTTCTCAGGATCACTTACATTGAAGAGCAGAGAAGGCACTGGTGTGAACCGCTCCACATGGATCATGCAGATGGCATCAGGGAGATGGCCTTCCCTGGATCCCACAAAGAAGAGCCTGTTTAGAGAAGAGGATAGGCTGAGAAGGTGGAACAAGCTGCCACATCTGGCCCTCTTCCTCTCTTTCAGAGCATGACTAACAGACTACTGGAGATTGCAGGTGGGAACAGTCAAGATGAAAGAGGCATTATGTGGGCAACAGGAGTAATTGAAATCCAGGTCCTGGCCCGGCGCGGTGGCACAAGTGGTTAAGGTCCTCGCCTTGCACGCCCGGGATCCCATATGGGCGCCGGTTCTAATCCCAGCAGCCCCGCTTCCCTTCCAGCTCCCTGCCTGTGGCCTGGGAAAGCAGTCGGGGACGGCCCAAAGCTTTGGGACCCTGCACCCGCATGGAAGACCCAGAAGAGGCTTCTGGCTTCGGATCGGCATAGTATCAGCCATTGCGCTCACTTGGGGAGTGAATCATCGGATGGAAGATCTTCCTCTCTGTCTCTCCTCTCTGTATATCTGCCTTTCCAATAAAAACATAATAAAAATAAATCTTTAAAAACAAAAAAAAGAAATCCAGGTCCTAGAAGTTCTGCCAGATCTTCACAATACCAACCCCAGCAAGAGATAACAGTCTTACCTAGAAGCAGCCACAATGGAGGCATTGAGGCCACCAAAACAGGATAATGCAACTGCAAAGGGAATTGCCCAGTTGAATATTCCAAAAATCTGGTCTGCAAAAGTCTTGAGAAGCAATGAAACAGTCATTATCAGAAATTCAAAAGGATGAAAGTAATGCAGGGGCATCACCCAGAAACCCAACCCTTCTACTGGAGTAACAGGATTTTCTTGCAAGCCCAATACCCTGTATGTACTCCTAAGCATGCCTATCCCTGTCCAAGAATTTCAAGAGCTGAGAAGCCCATAACCCAAAACCTTAACCTTCTGCTAATGAAAATCATTTACCACAGCAACAGCATCACTGGCCAAGATGTCCCTCATGTCTAGCACAGTGTAATAGGCCACATTAGTCAAGATGTAGATGATGGTGACAACAGGCATGGAAATACCAATGGACAGGGGCAGATTCCTGCAGCAAAACAGAATAAAGGATATATTAGTCCCACAGTCGCGGATCCCTCCTTTATCTTTGGATGCTCCCTGCCATACTAGTCTTTCCATGGATGGAGACTTCTACATTTCCCCAGTGCCTTTGCCTTTGCAGCCTAGGACCCTGGCTGCAACTCTTAAACTCTTTATCAACTAAAGAGCATCATGGGAAAGGAATACCACAAGAGAAAATGCTACAGAAAGACAAAAAAAAAGTTAAAACTGTGTCACAGCACAGAAGATGGGAAGTTGTTTTTACGCCCAAATGTCTCATAGGATCAGGATTCCTTCTCTACAATTACTAACGTTGGAAATTTTATCCTAAGGTTAGAAATACCAAGAAGGTGTGGAACCAAATTGTGAAATCTAGCATCTCCAGAGAATAAGATAGGCCTTCAGTGGAAAGACTTAGGTGTGGATCTGAACAAGTAAGATGGGTTCTCCCAGTTTGAGAACGCTGGGTGCCAGCCTAACCAGTGGCCAAGAGAAGGGCACAGATTCCTCCAAGTCCTTCTAGCCCAAGAAATATATAAACTTGGCAATGTGATGGCCAGAAAGACAAAGGGGCAAGGCTGGAGTCATTCACCCTCTGTCCAGCAGGTGGAAGCACTGTCCAGGCCCGACCCTGCTTCCAGCATCTCTGCTGCCACAGTAGCCACTGGAGATATAGAGTGCCTTGTTTCTCAAAGCCAAAAGGAGTATTGGTATGAGAACTGTTACTCTTTTGACTTGGAAATGTAGACTGTCTACTGTGCCCGGAGTCATGACGTTTTAGAGCCAGGAGACACCCTGCAGATTACCATTCAACTCTTTCCCCGCCATGAGTTTGAATGAATCACAATCAGTGGGAAAAATTAACTCCAAGCTCCCCGACTCTCCACCCAGTGCTTTTTCCACCTAGTACCACTACAAGCCAATTGAGTGACAATGGGGTGGCCATCTACTTGAATGACAGAGAACACAAGGCCAGGATGAATTCGGGAAATAAAGAACTGGGAGACAAAGCTTAAGTCTGAGACCTAAAGTTATCTTTGGGGGCAAAAGATGTACCAAATAAAGTCTAATTTTAAAACATACATATGCACACAGTACAGTCTGCTATAATTAACACAAGAACAAATGAACACGTATGAAAATCCCTTTTTAGACAATTTTATAGGCGCGTTTGGCTCAGCACTTAACGCTTGGGATGTCCACACCCCCCATCTGAACACCTGGCTTCCGTCCTGACTACTTCTGAGTCTGACTTCCTGCTACTGCACACCCTGAGAGGCAGCAATAACAACTCAAGTAGTTGGGTTTCTGCCACCCTGTCAGACACCCACATTCCTCCTTCTTTTTTTTAAGAGATTTATTTTTATTGGAAAATAAGATTTACAGAGGAGATACAGAAATATCTTCCATCCACTGGTTTACAACCCCAGTGGCTGCAATGGCCAGAGCTGAGCCAATCCATGGCCAGGAGCTTCTGAGTCTCCCATGCAGGTACAGGGTCTCAAAGCTTTGGGCCATCTTCTGCTGCCTTCCCAGGCCATAAATAAGGAGCTGGATGGGAAGTGAAGCAGCTAGGACACAAACTGGCACCCATATAAGATCCTGGCACTTGCAAGACAGAGGATTGGCCAGTAGAGCCATTGTGCTGTCCTCACCCCACCCCACCCACCCCAACATTCCCACTTTGAGTTGAGGCTCCTGGCTCTGGTCCCACCAGCCCTGGCAGTTACAGGCCTTTGGGTGACAGACTAGCAAGAAGGAAGGTTTTTGCTCTTGGTTCTGCCTTTCAAATAAAATGAAATAATATATTTTAAATGGAACTAGTAGGGGCAAGCGTTTGGTGCAGCAGTTATGATACCATTTGAAACAACTGCATCCCATATTAGAGTGCCTGAGCTCAAGTCCTGGCCCTTATCCCAATTCCAGCTCCCTCTGCACCTCTGGGAGGAAGCAACTGATGGCTCAAATAGTTTGGTCCTTACTACCATATGGCAGACTCAGACTGAGCTCCTGACTCCCAGCTTTGTTCTGGCTCACTTCCAGCTATTACAGACATTTGGTGAGTGAGCCAGTGGATGGGAGAACACTTTGTGTGTGTATATGACTTTTAAATAAATTTTTTAAATAGATGGGTGGACATTTGTACATCCATATCCCATATCAGAGTACTGGTTCCAGGCCCAGCTTTCCTACTTCGAGTTCAATTAATGCTCCCAGGAAATTGAATTATTTGAGTCCCTGCCACCCACACGGGAGAATGAGTTCCTGGCTGTGACCCAACCCAGGCCTGATCGTTGCAGTCACTTAAAGAGTGAACCAGCTTAAAAAAAAAAAGGGTACCATGCCAGCCAGCTGGTTTATTTAACAGCTGAAGTCCTCGCCTTGTGTGCAATGGGATCCCAGATAGGTGCGGATTCATATCTCGGTTGCTCCACTTCCCACCCAGCTCCCTGTGACCTGAGAAAGCAATCAAGCACGGCCCAAGACCTTGGGACCCTGTACCCATGTAGGAGACCCAGAGGAGGATCCTGTCTCCTGGCTTCGGATCAGCTCAGCTCCAACCACTGAGGTCGCTTAGGGAGTGAACCAGCGGACAGAAGATCTCTGTAGCTCTGCCTTTCTAATAGAAATAAATGAATCTTGGAACAACAACAACAACAAAGAACCAGCAGAGAAAGTGAACCAGCATAGAGAAGCTCTCTTTTTTGTCTTTCCATACCGCACTCTCTGTCTCTCTGCCTTTCAAATACATAAATCTTAAAAAAAAAAAACCAGAAACAAATATGGAACTGATGGAATCAACCCCACATTATTGCAATATACTGTTTGGCACCCAGAACGGGCCCAATAGATGATGGCTTTCACTGCTGTGAGGGACCCACCTCTCAGGATTCTTGATCTCCTCAGTGACATAGTTGAGGGTGTCCCAGCCGGAGTAGGAAAATAGAGCCGAGTACAGCGCCAGGGCAATGTCACCTGCTGCAAGTGATGAGCCCTCAAAAGAATTCTCAAAGTGAGTAGTGTCTCCTGGAATGCAAATATTAGAACACAAAAAGATTAATGGCTTGTGGGCCCAGCACGATAGCCTAGCAGCTAAAGTCCTTGCCTTGAATGCACCGGAATCCCATATGACCACTGGTTCTAATCCCAGAAAACCCGCTTCCCATCCAGCTCCCTGCTTGTGGCCTAGGAAAGCAGTTGAGGATGGCCCAAAGCCTTGGGACCCTGCACTCATGTGGGAGACCCAGAAGAAGCTCCAGGCTCCTGGCTTTGGATCAGCTATGCCCCAGCTATTGTGACTGCTTGGGGAGTGAATCATCGGACGGAAGATCTTCTCTGTCTCTCCTCTCTCTGTATATTGACTTTGCAATAAAAATTTATATATCGGGCCCGGCGCAGTGGCGCAAGTGGTTAAGGTCCTCGCCTTGCACGCCCGGGATCCCATATGGGCGCCAGTTCTATCCCGGCAGCCCCGCTTCCCTTCCAGCTCCCTGCCTGAGGCCCGGGAAAGCAGTTAAGGACGGCCCAAAGCTTTGGGACCCTGCACCCGTGTGGAAGACCCAGAAGAGGCTTCTGGCTTCGGATCGGCATAGCATCGGCCATTGCGCTCACTTGGGGAGTGAATCATGGGATGGAAGATCTTCCTCTCTGTCTCTCCTATCTGTATATCCGCCTTTCCAATAAAAAAATAATAAAAATAAATCTTTAAAAATTGATATATCTTTTTTTAAAAAGCCAGGAACAGAAGAGAGACATCTCCTAAAGGAATGGGCTGGCATGCAGACACGGTATGCATGGGGATTCTGACAGTACAAGAATACACCAGAGAGCAGAGGGCTGGCAAGCAGCAAGAATGCCATTCTGTTCTGTTCTGTAGGCTGGCAGGACCTACCAGGGCGGAGAGGAAGGGCTGGGCACAGTAGCCCCAGGTAACACATGCTTGTGGAGAGGTGTTCGTGCCTAGAAGCTGCAGAGGAATAGGTGTGGGAGTTGGTTTCTGACCTTGGCCAAAGAGTCGTAAGGACAGCCTTAGACCCGACTCTGCAAAAACCAACTCTTGGTGCACAGCTGGAGCCCCTCTGCCAAGCATGGGCTGCCCTGGGAGGAACAAGGCTAACAAGGGGCCTGGTATGAATTTTGGCTCTACCATTTACTGCTAGGGACTTGGAAAGGCCCTTCATTCTGTAATCATTTCCTCATCCGTGGAATGGGAAGAACAACATGACTGCCGTTGGTAAACACAAACAGCACTTAGACAAAATGCTTAACATCAGTTGCCATTGATGTGCATTCTTACCTTGGCCCAGTCTAACGATGCCTGCAATGATGATCGCAATCAGCGCTAATACTTTAGCATAGGTGAAAAGGTCCTGTACCATAGTTCCCCACTTGACGTAAGCACAGTTTATGAAAGTTAAGAGACCTGAAAGAAAAAGAATACCGATTGGTGACTGAGCTCACCAGACAGCCTTGGAACCCCAAGTTTTTCCAGTTCCAGTTACCCACTAGACCCCTCAGCCAAAGGTAGCATACATGTGGGGGCCAACCTATGGAAATCTATGCCCCCACAATATCTTCACCATCCTCAGCAGCCACAGGCACCTGCTGTCATGGCACCCCCCACATTCCCTGCCCCCAGCACCTGACGTGGGAGACTCTGGAGGTCTCTAATGACTCACAAATAAACAAACAACAAAAAAACACCCAAATTCGTAATCACAGCAATGAGAGGCAACGGAGAGCTGGATGGGATCGGCAGTGCATTCCAGCTTTCCGGCTCTGAAAATTCTTCCGGGCCCCAGCCCCCAGCAGGCCAACTCTGGTAGTACTGTTCACCTTGACAAGTCTTGTTGTGCCTAATCCCAAGTCAGGACCAGCAGGTCAGGACACGCGACCAAGATTTAGGACTGAAACCAGATTTCCTGCCCACCGCCTGCCAGCTCAGCTGCTAGTTCTTGTGCTGGGAAAGATTCCTGCAGCTCAAAGTAGTTCCTATAAAATGGGGACAGGGCATTTTTCCTGACCAGATTACATAATATACCAGCCACGATATTGTTCAGTCCTTCCTTCCACTCTGGGGTGAGGTACATAACTATGGTATTAAGTTCAGGTTCACAGATCATCTTTAGAGCCAGGGCCATTGGTTCATTTGCCTTTTTTTTTTTTCTTATACGTTGCTTGTTTTTTTTTAATTGCATTGTATTATATGACACAGTGTTATAGGCACTGGGATTCACCCCACCCCTCCCCGAACCCTCTCCCCATGGTGGTTTTCTCCACCTTGTCACATTACCACAGTTCAAATGCAGTTGAGGTTCTTTCATTGGAAGTATTTACTGAGCATAAAGTCCAGCATCTTATTATCCTAGTGAGTTCAACGAATTCTTGATGAGACCATCTCTGGTCTGAAGGTAAAGCCAGCAAAGTATCACCCCAATCAATTAAAAGCCCCAACAAAACATCAACTACAATTTACAACATTATGGCATTAATTGACATTATATTGATTAATCAATTTGTTAATAGGAAAATGCAGGTTCTTAACTACATCCTATGACTTCTTCATAGACATTTCAATTTTGGTTTATATTCAACCAGGTTCTATACACCTCAAGATGGCTATAGATTACTATTTAGCTGTTTCATGTCTATTTTCATTTTAGTATTTAGCTGTTTATAGTGTTGAAGCATGATTTTGCTGAACTTGGTTGTTTTTCAGATGGTCTGAACTGGTTTATAACTCTAGCAAGACATGTGTCCTCAGTTTTGGTACAGAACATTTTTTTTGGGAGGGGTGTGCAGAGAAATCCCCAATATTCCAGTGAGGCGTAACTAATCTTTGTGTCCCACCTAGTGAGGTATGAGTGAATCCACGTTGACCATTTCCTGTCTGATTCTATGCTTTCCTTGTTGCTGTCTGTCTATTCTAGGTTTTTTGTTTGTTTGTATGTTTGTTCGTTTGTTTTGAGGGGTTTCTGGAGCAATCCTAATGGTCATCGCGAGAGAGGGTAGGGACCCAGAGCCGGAGCTAGGCAAGGACCAGGGAAAGCTCGCCTCTCTAGTCCCGAAGGAAATTTATTATTCTTTTGTTTCTGCAGACTGCTCAGGGCTCCTGGTTGTCGTTCCGATGACGCTGGTTTCTGCACGGCAGCTTGGACTTCTTCCATCCCTTGTGGAAGCTCCAGATGGGAGTGGGTGACCTCAGAGTTCTCGGCCTCCGAAGGCACTCCTATTCCCTGTGGTCTCCTTGACAGTTGGGATGCAGTCCTTGGTGTCCGTACTGATAGTCCTTGCTGAGAATCTGGGAGTCTTCAGGGTTGGGGTACAAGCCTCCTCCCGTCCACCTGCTCCACTCTGAGGTCTCCCCCATGCTCCATACGCATGACTTTCTGTTAAGAGGCTGTTAGGATTGCTCCCGATTCCCCCCTTATGCCTGTGTAGCTTTACTATTGTCTAGTGCCGACTCGAGTCTGTTGTCTATGAGTTACCCAATTTGATCCTGATAGGCTACATTTCACATCTTCCTCACAGTTTTTAGGGAGATGGGAAGATTTCTCTGCATTCCCTCCCCATTACAGCATAACATAGGGTATTAAGAGTGTTTTGTTTTAGGTTTTATAATTCTTTGATGTAGATCATGAGCAGTCTTACTCACATTAATTGTTGATTTATAGATTACAACAGGTTATCTTATTGCATTGGATACAGGTTGTCAGAGATTGTAATAATATTACAATAGGGCCCGGCGTGGTGGCACAAGTGGTTAAGGTCCTTGCCTTGCACGCCCGGGATCCCATATGGGCGCCGGTTCTATCCCGGCAGCCCCGCTTCCCTTCCAGCTCCCTGCCTGTGGCCCGGGAAAGCAGCAGAGGATGGCCCAAAGCCTTGGGACCCTGCACCCATGTGGGAGACCGGAAGAGTCTCCTGGCTTCGGATCGGCATAGCATCGGCCATTGCGCTCACTTGAGGAGTGAATCATTGGAAGGAAGATCTTCCTCTCTGTCTCTCCTCTCTGTTTATCCGCCTTTCCAATAAAAAAATAATAAAAATAAATCTTTAAAAATAATAATATTACAATATACAGGTACTATTTTCCAGATTGACATCTTTTCATCTCAAATTAAGGCAAACGTGGTATTTAACCTTTTGGGATTGGTTCATTTCTCTTTACTTTGCTTGTTTTTGAAAGGAAGCAATAGAAAGAAAGAGTGTGAGAAAGAGCATCTTCCATCTGCTAGTTCATTGCCCAAAAGCCTATGATGGCCAGGTCTGGGCCAGGCTGAGACCAGGAGCCAGGAACTGCCTCCATGTCTCCCACATGGGTGGCAGGGGCCTGTGTCCTTGGGCCATCGTCTGCTGCCTTCCCAGGCACATCAATACACTGGAAGCTGGACTAGATGCAGAGCACGTGGGACTTAAACCATTGCTCCTATATAGGAGACTGACGTCAGCTTAATGTGCTACAACACAATGTTGACCTCCACATGTGCTTTTCATAGTTCTCATTAGAATCTCGGAGAAACTCATTACATCTGCCCTTGAAAAAGCTAGTTCTTTAGAAGAAACCTCTGTGAGGTTGACCAGTAGTCCCAGAAACATGAGCAGAAATGATGTTGAATACCTGCAGTGTTTATTGGGTCCCCTCAGGTAGCTCCTGAGCAGGTGGGCTTGAGGGCACAACCCACGTGCCTTCACCATAGTGAGCACAGCACACCATCTCATGGCACCCTTCACAACCCGACAACTAGCATGATGGGCTTAATGCCAAAGCTTTTCTCCTGAGACCTCCAAGCACAAGGCTCACCCTGCCTCCCCAGGGCTCCAAGCAGGACCAGAGCCCAGCTTGCCCACCTTAGGTCACTAACAGTCAGGAGCCCCCTCAATTCTCCTACCGTGGCCCTGGGTGGGCCCAGTCCTCCTGATGTCCTGGCCTCATCACCTGTAACTTCCTCCTGAGATGAAGAGAAGTGTGGGCTCTCCCCATCCCTCAGCCCCCAGCCCCTCTCTCACCCACCCTTCCTCCCCCTACTCTCCTTTCTGCCCAGATGCTCCTCCATATTTCTGTCCCATTTAGATGCTTGCTTCACTAACAAGACAATAAACAACCAAACTTTTACAGCAGGGCTGGGCAAAAACACACCCATAGCTCCAGGCCATCTCAGCCCTGTGTTAATCATTAAAAGACACTAAGTACCAGTCTCTAACAAGCACCCCACAAATAATCACAGGGCCAAGATCTCACCCTCCACATCTGTCAGTCTGTTGATCCTCCTTAGCTGAGGTACCCAGCACAGACTCCCTACTGGACTTTCCCCTCCAGCCCTCCGGCCCCTTCCGGCCCATCCTGGTGACCTTTACTGCTTGCCTTCAGGCTCTGCTGCTCCTGTAAATGCCACATAAGCAAAGTTTTCAGGCAGAAGCACCACCACGCAGCAACGCAACTCGGGCTGCCATGTGCTGGATCCCCTGGCTAGCCTGCAGGTTCACCAGGGCAAAGCTGCCCCAGGCTTCCGGGAGCCAGCAGTGCATTGCAGGGTTTGTTCTCCGCTGTCCAGAACAACTAATTCAGCACCCTTTCCCTCAGCAGCTTCCGCTGGATAACGTCTGAATCCCTACTGTTTCCCTTCGCTCCAGCCACAGTCTTCCATTTGCATGATTCCTGTTCCCCAGCAGCGTTTCCCCCAGTCCCACTCCTGAGCCTGCTTCTCACGCATTGGTCCACCTTCTTGCCCTGATTTGCTTGTCTGCATTCAGTCCAGTGAATCCAAGAGGGAAGAGGAACTGCCTGCGGGGAGCTGGCCCTCGCCTACCCCAGGGCCCAGCTTCCTCCTGGGCCTCTTGGCCTTGGCAGCAGGAAATGGGCATGGCAGACAACAATGCTGACCGGGCTCTTTGTCCTCACCCACAGCGGATACAGCTGACCGGCGGCCCCCAGCCAGAGCCCAGCCAAGTGCTCCGCTCTGGAGGCCGAGGGCAGCCTCTGGCTTCAGAGTCCGACGCAGGAGGGCACAGTGGGGTTAGAATAATACAGAGGCAACCACAAGCGGACAGACACCATATACTTCCTCCTATGGGGACGATAAAATTCCCACTCGACCCTGGGCCATGGCCACAGGACCCTCAGCCCAGGTACAGCTGGGAAGAAGTCACTCCCTGCCCCACCAGTCAGTCATCTACAGGACTGCGCCTGAGTGAATCCCTGAATGTGGCCCAGAGAAGGTTCCCAGGAGTGAGAGGTGAGTTCGGGCAGCAAGGTCCAGCATCAGATGGAGAACAAATAACCACCAGCTGCCAGGGCAGGCTGAGCCAGACAGGAACAATGTGTGCAGCCCTGGAACAGATGCCCAAACACCACAGTCCCTGAGGGAAAAAAAAAAAGGGGAGGTGGGTGGCACAATGGCTCAATTGACGAGCGCTAGGATC